TCATAAATTCCTTCCAAAATTCCAAAATTCCTTCCTAAATTCCAAAATCCCTTCCAAAATTCCAAAATCCCTTCCAAAATTCCTCCCTTCCAAAATTCCTCCCTTCCAAAATTCCTTCCCTTCCAAAATTCCTTCCTTCCAAAATTCCTTCCTCCCTTCCAAAATTCCTTCCCTCCCTTCCAAAATTCCTTCCAAAATTCCAAAATTCCTTCCAAAATTCCAAAATTCCTTCCAAATTCCAAAATTCCTTCCAAATTCCAAAATCCCTTCCCTTCTTTACTCCCTCCCTTTAAAAGAATTTTACAATAAAATCCTACAAATTCTGTTCCATAGGACACTCAAACTTTTGACAGAAATGAAGTTTTGGGGATTGACTAAAAAACAACATTTTATAATATTTTGATGTTTCAGGCAAACCTRCCATTGACTGATTGACCACAAATTGAGAGGAAATTTGACCCAATGGCCACATTTATCCCAAATAAATGAAAAATGGAAGGAATTATGGACTCACCACRTACTCATCCTCGTAGCCATCCTCTTCAGGCACCCCCGTGCTGGGGTCACAGTCCCTCACTGTGAACTTCATGGTGCAGCTGAAGGTACAAGAGACTGGGAGRAGAGAGAAATCCTGGATAAATGGGAGAAAAATCTTCTCCTTGAGCCCTCTCTTCCCAAAAAGTGATTGGAATATTCCAGCAGCTTTGGCCCAGGAATACAGACACAGCCAGGGCAGAGCATTTTTAGTTTCGGTTTTAGTTTCATTTTTAGTTTCATTTTTAGTTTCATCTTTAGTTTCATTTTTAGTTTCATTTTTAGTTTCATTTTTCCCTTTGTTTTTAAAATAAAAGCCAAAGGAGGAGCTTGGGAAAGTTCCAAGGGTGACAAGCACAGGTCAGTGATCCCAAATGCTGCCTTGAGATCCAGCAGGAGCCACCAGAAAAAATTCCACAAGGATTTCTGACAGTGGGATATGATCCAAACCCCCAGTTCAGCAAATTCAGATTAGTTCTAATCATCCCTGGAATTAAAATAATGTCAAAACCCACTCCACTGATAAGTCATGTAAATCCAATGGTGTTTAAGTGAGAATAATGAAAGAAAAGGAAGTTTCATGCCCAAGMAAATCTCATTCCCCCATTTTGTAGGTGTTTCTAATTCTCTAAAGAGGGGGAAAATTTCATTAATCCATTGTATAAAGCCTGAAATTATAATTTTTTTAAAAAAAAATCAATTTAATTTCAATTAAACTAAAAATTTCAATTTAAAAAATAAATATAAAGCCTGAAAAACTATTTTTTTTATTCTGTTTGCACTTTTCTTTTACTGGCTCTGTTCTTGAACGCTCCCAAACATCCATGGTTTTAAATGTGCTCTCCTTTCATTGATTTCAGATTAAAATTAATGAGGGTTATCTCACCATCGAGGGCAGGCAGTAAATTTAAATTTCCATGCCCTGCAATCCTCATTTTTCACATCCAATTCCACTGATTATTTATAAAAATTATTTTCCTAAAACTCAGCACTGGTGACAGAAAAAAACGAACGGTGGCGTGAGGATGTCGGGATGAACTCAACCAATTATGCTCTCCAAAATCTTAATTTTGAGGGATTTTAGGATAGAATTCCTCACCTGCAGTGGGGTCATCCTGGGGGATGCTGACCAGGGTGTAGCACATTCCAGGTTGGTTGTAGGCTAAACTGGGAGCAGGGACACAGCAGATCACATCGTAAGCGTCCGACGGTTCCATCTGCACCGTGACCCTCTCCAGGAGCTGATCGTTCAAGGTGTTGGTGCAATCAAACTGTAAACAGGRAAAAAACACCTGGAAACACTTCCTTAGGGAGAGTTCTCCCCCAAAATCAGCTCGAATCCATCAGCTCTGCCAAATTTTGGGAAAAKGGTGGGAATTTCCTCACCTGGAAAACGATGTGGTTTGGGAACACGTGTTTGATACAGCGAACGAAATATTCTGTTTCTGCTTCCGTGAGCTGCACGGCTTCTGAAGATTTGAAGAGTGGCCCCAGGCCCTTAAATTCTGGGATGGCTGCCAGTTGTTCTGGGCAGGAAGGGAAAGAAGATCAGCGGTGACAGGATCTGATCCTGAGATCATCCCAAYGCTTCAGAGAATTGAGGAATGGTTTGGGTGGAAAGGGACACAGTTTTAATCCCTGGATATTTTCCACTACCAAAGGTTGTTCCAAACCTCTTCCAACCTGGCTTTGGGATCTAGGGGTAGCCTCAGCTGCTCTGGGAATTCCATCCCAGGCAGGAATTCCATCCCAGGCAGGAATTCCATCCCAGGCAGGAATTCCATCCCCAGATCCCACCCCAATCTCCCCTTTTCCACTCTGATCCATTCCCCATGTCCTGTCCCTCTCCAGCTCTCCTGTGCTTCTGGAGATCCACTTTTCCTACCTTGAAATATATCCTGCCGTGAAGGAGCCACTTTCTCAGGTTTGCTGGGCACCAGGGCAATCTCTGGGGAGAAAAAAGAAAATATTTGGTGGTCTCAACTGCCCCACGCAGGAGGTTTAAATGCCACTAAATCTCTACTAAATATCCCTTATATTCCTTATATTCCATTCCTTATATTATATTCCTTATATTATTATATTCCTTATATTATATTCCCTGTATTGTATTCCCCTACATTATATTCCTTGTATTATATTCCCTATATATTATTATATTCCCTTACATTATATTCCTTAAATTATTTTGTCTATATTATATTCCTCTATCTTATTATATTCCCCTATATTATATCTCCTATATTATATTTCCCTATATTATATTCCCCTATGTTATATTCCTCTATATTATTATATTCCCCTATATTATATCCCCATATTATTATATTCCTAAAATTATATTCCTTATATTATATCCCCTATATTATATTCCCCTATATTATATTCCCTATATTATATTCCTCTATATTATTATATTCCCCTATGTTATATTCCTTATATTATATTCCCTATATATTCCTTATTTATTTCTCATATTATATTCATTTTATTATATTCCCATATATTATATTCCTTATATTCCCTATATTATTATGTCCCCTATATTATTATAGTCCCTATACTATATTCCCCGATATTATATTACTTATATATCCCCTAAATTATATTTCCCTATTTTATATTCCTTATATTATATTCGCCTATATTATATTGCCCTATATTGTATTCCCTATATTCCTTATATTCCTATATTATATTCCCTATATTCCCCTATATTATATCCCCTATAATATATTCCCCTATATTATATTCATTTTATTATATTCCCCAATATTATATTCCCTATATTCCTTACAATATATTCCCCTATATTATATTCCTTATACTATATTCCCTATATTCCTTGTATTATATTCCTTTATATTATATTCCCTTATATTATACTCCCCTATATTATACTCCCCTATATTCCTTATATTATATTTCTTATATTACATTCCCCTCTATTATATTCCTTCTGTGTTTCACACATTTTGCTGCAAAACACTGCCAGCCTGGCTCCTCACACACTGAAATATCTTTTTTCTTTGTGGAAATACCGAATTGCAAATTGAGAAAAAAAGTCAGAATTATGAGGAATAAACCACACCTTAGCCCTGAAGAGCTAGGGGAAAAAAAATGAAAAAAAGGAGAAAAAGGAGAAAAAAAGAAACCCCAAATTTGTTGTGCTAAGAAGAGATGTTCAAGAATTGTGCAAGAATGTGGAAGAAAGGCAGGGGGTGACAAATTGCTCTTGGAATGACCTTTTCCCAAAAGCTATGAACCAATAAATTCTGATTATTCTAATTCTATAATAAATTCGAATTACTTGTCTGTGGTGATGGGATCAGCAGAAGAGCAGCAGCCCCAATTTCCATGAGGTCTGGGTTTTACCTGCTTTCTGTTCAAAGATGGGTGCCGTGGCCAGGGGAACTGTTTTCATGTCAAAAGGTTTTTCTGAAGGCTCCAGAGTGTATTGATGGAGGGCTTTCTCCATCCCAGGAACAGAGACTGTCAACCCTGCAGGGGAGAAAGGCAGAAAAATTCCATTTTAAAAGAGCTGGAACTGCCAGAGGTGGTGCTGATACACAGCAAACAAAAAACAGGCAAAGATTTTCAAGGTACTGGCAGAAAAAAAGCTGCTCTGAAGATGACACAAAGTGGCAAAGTCAAAACAATGAATCTTACACGTGTTAAATGCTCTGCTCAAGTAAATTTTCAATTACAGACATAAAATATTTTTAGAACCAACCCTCACTCTCATTTTGCAACAGAAAATATGGAGCAATAATCAAGAAATTTGAGCCAAAGTGGAGGATGAGTCAATGAGAAAAGCCCAGAAACTCACACTCCTGGCCCCATTTTCCCATATTTTGTTAAATCTGCTGCTCTCAGCACAAACATTTCACAGGGAAGTTTAAAGCCAGAAAAAACCACGTGAATTAACAGCTCTGATTTGCTTCCTTCTCCTCCCTGACCATTAAAAATGTAGGCAGCATTCAGGGCCAGCTGTCTCTGCTGCAGGACATTCAGGTAGAAGGTGGCTCTGTCACGGACCTCGTCGTCRCTGTCCATCATGCACCTATTTGGGGACAAGGGGACAGAGCATCAGAGAGCTAAAAATGGCACTGAAAAAAAACAGCTTTGATCCTGCAGTGACAGAGCTCCTTCAGGAGATTTTCAAATGATGTAAAAATGTGTTTGTACCACGCAGGAGTTGGTTTAATTTTAATTAAATCGTTAACACTGCATGTCTTAACAAGAGACATGTGACATGGGCACACCCAACTTTGGCAAACATAAATGTTATTTAGGAGCAACCTGGACATGAATTTTCTTGCTTAAAGGGGAGTAAAAAGTGCTCACAGGGAGTAAAGGTTTGCATTTTTTTTATATGGGCAGAAAGTGATAGGGCAAGGGAGAAYAATTTTAAAGTAAAAGAGGTTTAGGTTGGATATTGGGGAGGAATTCCTGCCTGGGAGGGTGGGGAGGGGCTGGGATGGAATTCCCAGAGAATTCCTGGATTCCTGGCAGTGCCCAAAGCCAAGCTGGCATTGGGGCTGGGATGGTGGGAGCTGTCCCTGCCATGCCAGGGGTGGCACTGGATGATTTTAAGGTCCCTTCCAACCCAAAGCAATCAATGATTCTGTGATTCATCACCCCCTGAGCAATRTTCTCAGATCAAATCACCATCACATGTTCCCATGACTAATCCCATCCCTCACTTCCTTGTCTCCAGCAGGGCTCTGCTCCCTCCAGCCAGGCAGGAAAAGTGGGAGAARCATTTGGGATTGACAACCCCTGGTGTGACCCTGCTGCTTCCATGGAATCTGTGTCACCACAGATCACTGGCACAGCCACTCCCACTCACCTTTGGAGCAGCACCAGGATACTGGGAAGCAAATTCTCATTCTGGGCTCCAAATTTTGCCAATGCACTGACAGCAGCTGCAGAGAGAACAGGGAGATGTCAGAGGGGCTCAGGTTCTGCATAAACCCATTCTCACAGTCCTGTTATCCTGAATTTTCAATTTACACAGCTTTTCACTTCCACACCATAAACCTTTCAGCGTTACAGCAAAAAACAAATTCCTGTATTTCCAAATGGAATAATTTTGAGATCAAGAACAGCTTAACAATCATGCAGCTCTGTTTTGAGAGAGTTCTCCATCAGATATTTATTGAATATCCCAGTTGTTGGTCCCTCTGTCATTCTCCAAATAAATCTATTTTCCACACAATCACCCAGAGATTTGCAGGGAGCTCAAACCCCACAGTGACCACTCAGAGCTGTCTCTCCACACCAATCAAATTTCAGCTTGGCACCAACTTGGAGAAAATCCCCACCCAGAAAGAAGAGGAAGCTGTTTCAGGAAGTCCAAGCTTATGACAGTGACGTTAAACAGGGAAGTGGCAGTGTCCCCTCCTCATGTTTACACCCTGAATTCCTGCAGACATTCAAAGAAGGGCCTAGAACCAACCTATGGCCAAAAAACAATCTGTGGGCAAAACAAGTATTAAGCTATGTTTTAAAAGTAGAGTTATAGTGAAGTATTTGTGTTGTAATTGTAGTGAAGATTCTAAAGGTGGATTGTGAGTAATTTAACCTTCTGCTTTGTGCTGGGGTATTTTGTGTAGGAAACTYTTTCTTCTGTTTAGTTCAGTTGATCTTTTGTTTTTGTTGTTTTAAGAAAAAATTGTTGTTGAATGTGGATTTTAATGATTATTAATTATAACAATATTATTTATTATTATATCTAGTCATTATTATTATTTGTTATTATTCTATTATTATAATAATCATTTATTTTTATTTATTATTAATGTCCTGAAGCAGGAAGGTTAGGATGATCTGGGTTTCAAGAATCTCAGGACAAAACCACCTCCACAGCTCTGCACAGGGCCTGGGGAAGAACCAACACTCCCCACATTCCAAACCCAGTTTAAACCTGGGAACTCCAACAGAGCTCAGCTGGAATTCCAACCCTGGAGCTGCTCTCAGCAGCTGTGGAGCTGAACTTGCT